CCAAGCCACAGCCCCTGCCTGCCCACCCCTCACCCTGCCAGTGCCCCTTGCTCCTGACATGCAGGATCTCCCCAGCCCCTGGTTCCCCCCAGCCCTGCTGGTGCCCTTTGCCCCCAACCCACAGCCCCCTGCCTCCCCACCCCTTCTGCTGGAGGGGCAGGCACCTCCCCGCTCTGCTGAAGCCCACACAGAGACCTGTGATGCCCCTGTATCCAATTACCCTCCCCCTGTTCTCCCCAGCCCCAAGCAGCATCTTTCTGGGGCAAGCCGGGAAGTGCCAGGAAAAACGGGATGCTCACCAGAGGCAGAGCAAAATCCTGGACATTTGCTGATATTTTAAAAAAACACCTGAAAAGGAGATGGGAAGATGTATCTGAGAAAATCCAGACGTACGGCAACCCTAACGAACCAGAAAGGATGGAGTCTCTTTGGTGAGCAGCACTCCCATCCCATATAAACAGGGACCTACTGAAATGGCAGTGGAAATGCAGTTTCCCTCCTGCACCCCCCACCCCCTGCCACTTGCTGCTTGCTCCTGATGCCTCGGAAGCAAAAATGATTTTTGCTTTAAAAGCATGATGCTTTTAAATATGGTGCCAAGGGGTCGCTTGCTGCGGACTGCAAGATTAAAGGAGCTGCCGTGCAGCGCGCTTCTGCAATTTTTGGTTGGTCCCTACACAGAGGATAACCTAGAGAAAGGCCTGCTACAAACACGGGTTCAGGACACGGGCCAGCCCAGATCCCGGGATGCTCTCAGGTTTTTAGAGCCGATTCACCCTGTGAGACTGATCCTGTTAGTTTACTAATAAAGGCATCATCAAAGCCCTTCATTTCGAAAGAAATAACCTGCTCTTGGAGAACCCTGCCATCCAGGACCTAACCCTGCAAGCCGCAGTTCACGGGCAGCCTCTCGCGGGGCAGAGGACAAAGAGCAGCCGGATCCGGCCCGGCCGCACCGCCATGCGCGGAAAAGGCGGGAAGCGCAGTGGCGGGAAGGGAGGGAAGAGCAGTGCCGTGCGCATGCGCGTGCGCGGGGGGGCGGGGCCGAGCCGTGCGGGCGGGACTGCCAAGATGGAGGGCTGGCGCGGAGGTGAGCGTGGCGCGGCCGCTACGGAGGGGCGCGACCCAAGCCCCACCACCCTCGTGCCCGGGGACTGGGCCGCTTCACCGCCGCCGGCAGCGGGCTCTGGGGTGGGGGCGTTGCCCGCCGGGAGCCGGCCGCGAGCGGGGTCTGCGGCTGCGCAGGGCGCTTCAGTGTGGGGAGGGCCTACA